TAAACAGGTTGATAAGGGGCACAGGCATGGAGGAACCGGAAGGGAGATTTGCACCACGCCGGAAGTGGTTGCCTCCCCCCAGCCGCATCTGTCAGCGTTCTGCTTAGCTCGCTAATGTGATTATTAAGTGGCAAAGTGGCAAGTGGCGGCGCTGGGTGTCGTGTAAAATTCATTATACGAACAGCACCCGGAGTTCATTGGCCATGGGGCCTGTTCCTGTTTCTGTTCCTGTTCCCACTCGCTCGGCCATGCATTACGCGTACTCAATATCCTGTCCCTGGTGGCGGCCGGTGACTGTGCCGCAATAAATTAGGGGCGCAAATAAATCATCCATTTTAATGTGACAGTTCCGACAAACGTAGCTTCAAAATAGCTTCACAGCCTGGCTGGGGTCTGGCCTGGTCCATTGGAGATGAGCGCGTGATCGAGGGAAATCGACAGCTGGTCTCGGATATAAGGGAATAGTTTGACTAAGATTTATGGCAGCACTTGAGCAACAATTGAGCAATTTAATTGGTTATTTATAGCTACTTAATAGACTGTTTACCGCAGCAGCTGACACTCACGCACTCATCTCTGTTTGGCCTCCATTTTGTCCCCATTTTGAACTCCATACCCCCCGGAGCTTCTGCCCAATTTGTTAGCAATATTTTCTTCATTGTTTGCACATTGTTTGACTGGCATTTTCCATCTTCCATTTCCAACTCTCTGTTGTTTCCACTAAGTACTCGGCCCAACTGCGGCACTTCATATATTTTTGAATGCGGTGTTTGTGTGTGTCCTTTTGTCTGCCACACCGCAAAGGAAACTTCGGCAGGGAAGCAATTTGTACGGGGAAAAACGTTGTTGACCAGCGGGGCGCATGATTAATGTGAGCTGATTCGTGTTAGGTGCTACGGCAGCGAGTGGAAATCTTTCTTCATTTTTCAAAATTAAACCGAAATGATGGTACAACATTTCCGCTTCGAATGGGAGGGACATGGTAGATGCTCCTCGAATGCTGGAAATTACACCCATGAAACCATATAAATCCATCCAAATTTCAGACACGAAAACATCCACACAACTGCAGTACAAACATTTGGCAGCGCCTTGGCACTGTGTAATGAACATTTATGAGGCAATTTCCTTAGCAGGCGAACACAGCGCTACACAGAGATACACAGAGAGAGAGCGGAGCAGCAGGACGACAGTTGACAAGCCCGAGAGAGACAAACCCAAACTATCCCAGCTTCCAGGGGCGGACAACTTTTTCTGCTCCACTTATGCCCAAACTAATTAAGTGCAGGAACAAGTCCTGCCATTTCCTTCCCGTTTACAACTGCCACACGCTGCGTGGCCCGGCTGCCGTTGGTCTTTGTCTTCTGCGAAATATCTAACTTTGGCTCTGGTGAAGCTTGTCCTGCGCTCAGTCAGAGATGCACCAGTGATGGGGGATTGCATGTGACTGAAGCAGATAACATTCACTGAAGGAAGTGTTCTCGAACGTGAGCACTTTATATTTAACAATCACTGCAACAGTTTTGCTCTTGTAATCACTTCTTCTCCCGCCTGCACTGGCTGCCTGACAAGTTGCACAATTTTTTGACACTTTTCATTGGGAGCGGAAGTACAGAGAGCGGGGAATGGGATTTGAATTGGATATGACTGGAGTCTGCTTAGCTGGGAGTCTTCTTATTCGTTTTCCCCATTTGTGTTCCACTTCTGAGCCAAATATTTAACCGTCGCTCCACTTTCGTGCTGATAGCCCGTTCGAGCGTCATAATAACGAAGATAAATGTTGCAAAAGTTTGCACACAACACGCCCCAGGACTGCAGGACTAGGACTAGGCAACCAGGCAACCAGGATCCAGGCAGCAGTTTCGTCTGCAGCTGCGATTTCTCGCTGCAGTTGTGTTGCATACTTTTCGGCTGCTCCCCGTCCCCAGTGAATGTTTTGTGACTCACACAAAGAGAGAGAGAGATACATATATCCCTCACTGGCTCTGCTTAGAAACAAAAAGTTTCAGAGATTTTTCTGGCAAGAAGTTTGCAGATGTCCTCCTCGTATATTGCAGCAGGGAACCATTGCACCCATGGGAATCCTTTGGCTAAAAGGAACAAGTTTATGCCAGTTAGATGTTTATGACTCTAAAGTGTAGCAAATGGCCAGTGAGTGGCTTTTGTTCATAATACAAAAGGAGTTGGTGATAACCTCAAGCTGGAATTAAATTTGGGGAATTCATGGAATGAAAATGTGTGTTTGTCGAAGTAGAAACCATTTTTTCTGCGCTGCGACAGGAACACGAAGGACTGCTCCAGCTCCAGCTCCAGCTCGAGCCATTGATGACGACAGCAGCGACGACAGTTTACACTGATGCTCGTTAGTTCTGCGCCAAAAACTTTGCCTTTGCTCCACCTCCAACAGCAATTCACACAATTTCACCAGGAGGAGGCCAGGAGGTGTGGGAGGAGGCGAGGCTGCAGCAGTTCTGTTGGATTTGTTGTCCCCTGCCATGTCCATGTCGGACTCGTTCCCGTTTACTTGATTTATGTCCGATGCGTCGGGCAAATGTTTCGGGGCAACTCCCTCAAATTCTACTCCAACGATCCCCCCACTGGATGTGCAACCTCGCCCTTGGCTTTAATTAAAAAACTAAAATAAATGTGGGACTGGGTAATGAGTCTAGATTGCAGCTCGCTCTCTATCTCTCAGAAGCAATTTGATTACGAACAAGCAATAAATTATGGCAGTCAAATAAATAAAAGAGTAGGAAAATTGAAGTAACATTCGCTGACGTTTCTTTTGTTTCTATTCTAATTACTCAGGGTCCATCCATCCTTGGCCAGTCTGTCAACGAAATGCATTTAAAGTTCTCTTCACATTATTCAATAATCAGCAAGTGAAAGGAGAAACCATTTTAGTCTCTAAATGGGTGCTGGCGGTGCTGGCACATTTTTGTGGCACGTTGTGGCAGCATAAAGTAGCTCCATAAAAATAACTCTCAGATGCTTTCAATGCGAATGTTGGTCGGAGGGAGAACCTTGCAGGTTCCGCATGCCACACAGCACACACGCAAAAGGAAGTCGAGTCCGGGCAGCCAAAAGGTTAAAGGCGGCAACTGACGCTGGCTTAAGAAAATAGCTCATACTCAGCGTGTGCCGCATGCCGCAAATACTTGGCCCAGCAAAGACAGAGGTGGATAAAAGGAAGTCAGTCAGCAGAGAGCACACACACTCCCATGCAGGACTTCCTGTGGCAGCTGCCATGACTGAGCACTGCCAGGGTGTGTGTGGGTGTGGCTGAGTCTTTACTTACTTAGGTCTCGATTTATGCTATGTATTTGTATTATCATTGATATGCAGCAGGGAAAAACCTTGTTCCTCGCCGTTGCTGTCATTGTTGGAGGTGCCATGGGAGAGGGAAAGCTGCTGCCTGTCTATAATTTAGTTTAATTATGGGGAAGTCAACTCAAAAGAGCACACAAAAGGTAGTTAAAAACGGCAAGGATAGGCTGGAGACATTGAAGCTTATAAATATATCTTAAAAAATACACAAATACATTGAAAAGCATGGCACTAAAATCTGAAAAAGATCACAAACGATCACAAAGCTCCTCAGTTCTCCAACATATCCGAATTAAGTTCAATCAGCGAGGCCTTGGGCTGCCGCATCGAATAGAGAATTTCACCAAGTACCGGGTAAATGGTAGATGGAGCGTTAAGGGATTTCAGACCCACCTTTAGGCAATTAGCCACGTGTCGGGGCACGTGTGCCAGCTCATAGACATCGTCGATGAAATGCAAGTTCCGCGCCACTGTCGGAAAGAGTTTTCTAATCTGCAGGAGTAGCACGGAGTACAGGGAGATGGAGGCTATGTAGTCACAGCGATCCTTAAAGACATAGCAGTCCACGCGGTGACGTATAGGTTCAGCTTCCCGGGCATACGAAGACTGTGAAAAGCGGCGCTCCTTCCTGGCGTACATTTGGAACTCGATGATTTCGGCAAACTGAAAGAAGGCCACGAGATGCTCCGTGCGGGGAGTGGGATTGTTGTTGATGGCAGAGACCAGATTGCCGAACTTCGTAAACGCTCGCCTTGCACTTAGATTTTGCAACTTTCCCCTCAGGTACAGGCAGGCTTTTCGCGAGAACTCAGCAGGGATCTTGACTGGTTTGGCAAAGCGACAAAAGGTCTCCGATGATGCTTGGATAATTGAAACTTTGCTTTCGATGCCCGGGATCATCGACAGCAGCGCTACATGACCCGCGGACTCTTTCAGCTTTACCGGCGGTAGCAATGTCCGAAGTCCATTCCCATCCGTTTCGGCAGGAGCCGATTCACGCGCTTTGGGTTCAACATGCGTCGGTTGCCCATTCGGAGTGTTGCTCAGCTGCTCTCGGGTCTGCTGGGGGACATCTCGGAGTATCGATCGCTGGAGTATTTTTTTTCGTTGAGCGCTCTCCTCTCGCAGTTCCCTTTCCCTGCGCTTGCCTTCAGCTCCCCTTTGCGGTGTATTATATTTCATAACGCTTGGCGGTAGCACAAAAGTCCCCGACATTTGGCTTGGGCAGTCTTTGAGAGCATCTTCATCTACTTGGTTAAACGAGAATCGGACATGTCTTTTCTGCGCGCTGCGCGAGGTCTCCGGTAGTTGATCTTCCTGTGGATTGGGTAACTCGTGGAGTGTTTGTTCCAGCCGCTCCTGTTCCGTGTGCCAGTCTTCGTCTTTTTGTTGTGGTGCCGCCTCTACGGCTGTTTGCTTGCGCAGACTAGAACTTCGAGTCGGAGAGCAGTCCAACGCTCTTTGGATCAGTTTGTGCTCGTCTCGATTCCAACGAGCTTCAGCAGCTTGTTTGCGCTTGTCCTCTTCTGTTTTAATTTCGATATTTGCGTTGTCTGGGCTTTTGCTTTGCCGGAGAGCACCGTTTCGCACAGATGAAAGTCGTCGCGGAGACGCGGGCAAGCTTTTATGTTTACTCTCCTCTTTGGCGCCCCCGTCGACGTCGCCTTGTTTTTGGGCAGCTTCCTCCGCTACCTGCCTGCGCAACAGAAAACTACGAGTAGGAGAGAAGTGCAAGACTTGCTTTAACGGTTTGTGTTGCTCACCCTTGCGCTCTTCTTGCTCCCGCCTTGCGCGCTCTTCTTCCTCACAAATCCAACGGGCTTCAGCAGCTCTGCGCTGGCGCTGAAGGGACTGTTGTTGTTTGCGCCTATCTTCTCTCCGTTTCTTTTTGAGTTCTGTTTTGCTTGGCCGCAGCGCAGAGTACCGTATGGATGGAAGCCGACGCTGAGACTCGAGCAAACTGGGCAGTATCCGCTTCTGTTCTTTCCGCAAGGCCTCGTCTCTTCTTTTTATTGCTGCTTCAGTTACCTGCCTGCGCAGCAGAAAACTACGAGTTTGAGAGAAGTGCAACGAGGGTTGGTTCAGTTTCTGTTGCTTGCGCTTTTGCTCTTCTTGCTCCTCTTTGGAGCTTTTGGATTTGGCATTTGGATTCCGCTGAGCTTCATCAGCTTTGCGCTCTTCTTCTCTTTTCTGTCGGAGCTCTTCTGATTTGCTTTGCCGTAGAGCAAACTTCCGAATGTGTGGAAGTCGAGTTGCTACTTGGTTCGACGCGGGCACACTGTGATGTCTCCGCTTCTGTTTTAAGCTGCTGTCTTCTGCTGTACTCTTTTGGCTTTCAGTAGTTTTGAGCTGTGTCAGTGAACTGGCTTGCCGATCCTCTACTTCTTTTAGGTTCTTCTCTGTTTCGGCCTTGAGAGCACTCTGAGCATCTTCAGTTCCGGCAATCGCTGGTAGATTGGGCTGATGGCTTTTACTTCCCTCAGATAATCTAGTTACTTCGCTCGCTGACTTATTTCCCTCCATTAGCATCCGCTTCGACTGAATCTCCGCTTTCTTCTGAGACTCCAAGAACAGCCATTTTTGTGCAAACGTCTGGGTAGAGGAAGGATCTACCTTCGATACTTTCTGTTCCTCGTTCGACTGTTCTTGAACATCACCTATGCCTTCTGGTAAGGTATTTCTTATGGGCAACTGAACATCCGAAGTGCTGGACTTGTATGAAATGCACAGCGGTTTTCCCTGGTACTCTGAATGCCACGACACCTGCGACTGATTCCGAACGACATCGAAAATCTCCCTCTTGATCACGCCATTCCCAACCATGTCCTGCAATGTGATGGAGAGTGAGCAGTAGACCAGCGAATAGTTGTCCGGACGGTGATGGCGCTCAAGCAAATCAACCTCTTCGGGGGTCACTTGCGCTGAGCCCAAGTGGTTTTGGCTGCCGGTGCAAAATATGTGGATCCTATGGCGAACGGCCTTTCCTGTGGGACATACGACCAGCAGAAGTGTACTTATATCCTCACGTCCAGAAAGTGTCTGCAATTGCAGAAATATAAAGGAACGCGAGTCCGTATGCATACTCCATGTTTGCAGTTGGTTTTTTGTTAACTTGAAGGGACTATCCTGCGACATGGTCGTCAGATGGCGGCCTTGAAAACTAAACTTTTCCTTGCAATCATGGCTGTGGCTGTCGCTGGGCATCTCATCGATATAGTCCATGTTGTGCTCCTCATCTGAACACGACATATTGGCTGATACACAAATTTAGAAACGTTTTTCGAGATATTACTACAAATAAGAGTTTAATTTTTTGGTGTCAAATTAGTTGTACAGCTACGAACGAAGTATTGTGAGTGAATGAGAGAATGTATTCAAATGAAATTACTTGAAAAACACAAGTGATCTCTAGTTGGCTTCAAATGTTAATGTTGGGTTGCCTCTAAGCTGGTTGGCAGCATTTTCGAGGCCCACACGATGCAAAATGAGCAGCAAGGGAAGCGGCAATGTTGTGGAAAAATTTAACTTTAAGCCACCACAAAGGATGCTTAACTCTAAACTTTAATTTGGTACCTTTCTAGCTTCATTTGCATTTCGTATGCCAGACAGCGTCCTTCACTTATGCCATCGGAAAGTAAATTTTTGCAATATTTTCAATACACCATATTTAAGGATGAAAGATCAAAGATATTCATCGATTTACGAGTATGCATACGGAGTGAAAACATTGAACACGAAACCCTTTTAGCCCCTTTGGGCAAACACTGCACACTGGATTTGCATACGAGGATAAGTGGAAGCAGTGAGTCGGCCAGCTGTGTCCTTGATTGAGTTTACCTGGTTACCCGGCCTCAGTCCCGAACTTCTCTCAATTGAATTGCTTGGCATAGAGTAGATGCCGACTCCTCGTGTGGTGCGGTTTTTCGACTTCGCGGCACTTTCCAACGCAAATCCATCATCATGCTTTTGCCGGAAGGTAGAGCTACTCAGGGCATGGGAGGTGGCAGTGCTGCCAAAATCCGAACGATGTTTGCCAGCGACTGTAACGTGAATGGCATGGTGCATCGAGCTGGCTGCTGGCTGCTGCCTGCTGCCTGCTGCCTGCCTCTTCTGCTGCTGTTGCATGTAACCACAAATTGCAATTAGCATCAGCATTCTACCCCATTGGCCTCGACTGACGCTGCTACTCTCGTGCTGCATCGGTCCCAAACAGATGATTGATGATGAACGCTAATTTGTGAGCCCCTTTTTTACGACCATTTACAACCATTCCCGTCATGGTTATCTAGCAACTTTGTATTTGAATGCTGCAGGAAGTTCTATATTTATTTGTTCTATTTTTGGAAAGATTAATGTATCCCCATGAACCACTTTTCGATCTAGCTTCGATACGACACATAATTCATGTCACATTTTGCACTTCTTTTACTCCATTTGGCATAAATACATTATGCGATTGTTTGTTGAGCATATTTAAATAAGTTTCCGTTGCTGCTGTTTATTTTAATCAATGTGTATTTTCTGTTAGCTATCATTTACTTTTCAGTAGCAGTCCGCTCGCAGTCCCCATAAATGTTTACGGCCATTCTCTGAGTGTGGATGTGGGTTTGTGTAATCAAGAGTGAAATTCTTGCGAGTATAAAAATGAATACACCAGGAAAAAAACCTAAATATTAGCCGCCATTCATATTATCCTCATTAACCCATGTATTTTTCATTTACAATTTAAATCTGTCATTATTTTTCAAACTATTTTCATAAGTATTATTTTTGTCATAAAATAAAACTTGTTTTTTCCAGTGTTCATGTAACCAAAAGAAAATCGACAATGAGAATGAGTGCCCTACGCACTCTTTCTCCTTGGTGTGCGTGTGTGTGTGTGGCAGAGAGAACCTGCCAGCTCGAGGCAAACGAGTGAGCGTATGAGTTTCAGTGCGTGACCATTTCCATGTCGGTCCGTACGTGTGTGGGTGGCACCATAAAGCAGCTCGTAAACTTCTGCAGCAGCACTCTGGGCAGCAGATGACCGACCCACCAACCATCTCCCTCCCTCTCTCTATCTTTTGTTTGCCATTGTATACCCGCACTCTAACAGTTTTTTTTTCACGCTGCACAATTTTTCGCGCTTTCTTTTCGTTATTGTATTTTTTATATCTGTTTCTGGTTCGTTTCTTTGGTTATTACGCAAATCCTTTTGTTGTACCAGCTCACTCCACTGTCGGCCCTGCCATGTCCTGCCCGCATCCGCTTCCCTGTAGTGAATGCTGTCTGCGGGGCACACGAGAGGGCGTCCAACAATAGCTGTGAAATAATCACTTGCCTGTTTGCACTTTATTAAGTGGACATCGCAGCATCGCAGCTTCGCGAGGGCGAGGGCGAGCGCGAGAGAACAGTAGATTTATTGACCAAACTTTACGTTTCCCGTTTTATAGTGGACTTTCCAATCTATGCTGATGGGGGAATGTCGGAAAGTTGCGAAAGTGAGGGTGACTAGATTGCATGATTTGTTAATTGTAAGAAAATAGCTGCAAAAAGTAAATTCCATATTTAAAATTAATTTAAACTAAAAAAGCTTTTAAAATGACAGGTTGGTTGATTCACAAATACACAGAAAACAAACACAAATTGATTTTCAATACCAAAACAAATCTTGAGATTATATTTTGTTCGTGGATCATCCTAATGATGTTCAAATTATATTTGTACATGCATATATTTTTGCGCTGCCCACTGTACACAAAACTTGCTACCTGCTTGCGCTTACGCACCGCAGCGGTCGCTCTTTCGTCTCTCTATCCCACCCACCTTCGTCGTTTCGTAACTGTAGTTACAGCGTCGTAGCTGTGCTGCCGCGCTCCAGCCCCAAGCTGCTCTCACGTTCTCAACAACCACTACCCTCTCGCTCTCTCCTGAGAAGTTCTGCACAGTGCAAGTCCCGTTGGCTCTGCAGTTATGCCCGAGCTGATCGTCACTAAATCTACCTGCCATCTTTGGCAGCAATTAAAAAAAGCTGTATCAAAGCTGTTTAAGCTCAATAAATATTTAATCTGAGCAAACCCATAACCATAATCTTTACTCCATTTAAGACAATAATGGACTCAGTCTCTGAGTCTGAAAGTTTATGCACTTTCGATCTCTCTCTTAAAAGAGGCTTCCAGGAATGTGCATTTAAAATATATTGCGATTATTATTTACTGTGCTGCAGGATTTAATGCTGAGAAGCCATTAAAAGGCTACCCAATTCCAATTCTCCGATAAGTCTGCCACGAAACATGCAATTAACCGAGTGAAAACATTACCAAAACGCCATTAATTCGCATTGTAACAGTTCGTAGTCTCACTTCCCGTTACTCTGAACCGATGGCATCGGAATACAGGCCACCACCCACACAGGCTGACCGGTGGCTGTGTTAATCAGCGCAACCGCGCTGGCATGCAACCGAAAAATGATTGCCTCCAACACACATTATCTGTATTATTAATGAGCTGCCTGCCGCCCTTGCCACAGACACGCACACTTGCGCACACAAAAAAGAGAGAGTGAGTGGAGGCCTTTATCCTGGTGGGGTCTTATAGTGGCATTGTTATACCCTGAAGAAGATAAAATCAGCTACAAATCTTTAAGGTATAGCCACGACATTCTCATCTCTAGAAATCTATAAATGTCTGTCGATAAACATGTTGTATCTGTTAGGGTATCTATCGTGTCGACCTTTCGCCAACGTTTAATTTCTCCTTTGATTGAGTCGCTTGTGTTTCGCACTCTCTCTTATTCGCTCTCTCAGCACATTGCATTTTCATCATGGTGTTGCTATTCGGGTGTTTAATTAATTGAAAGCATTTTTGCCAACCACACCACAGAAACAGGCCAACGGGTTGCGTAGACCATAATAATATTGACTCTTCGGCATTGAGGACACAAAAGGACGGCAACACCAACCATATGCAAATGAAATGCAGGCGAAACAGACAGCGAACCATACAAATGTGGCCTAGGATCTTTCGTAATTGGAATAATTGTAAATTGGAATAATCCAACGCTGTCTTGGCTGAGTTCTATCTTGGTAATTCTATTCCAATGCTCTATTCTCAGAACATATCCAATCCTACCAATGAATTATTTGGAGTGCTGCCAAAAAACTCTTCACAAGATTATTTTTTTAGCTTTTAATTAGCTTTATTTTTGGCAATAGAAGTGCAATACGGACCCAAATATAATGGAATTTAGCTGTCTAATTGAATAACGACATTTGTTTTGGGAGAGTTTGTGCTAAATAATTATCTTCTACTGGTGAACATGTTCTACAAGTGAGATCAGATATACGTTCTGTAAGAAACTTTTTTGTGACTCCAAACGGACACAGTTTCATGTTCAAGGTATCCGCCTGTCAGCAGTTTGTCTTACTGAAACTTATCCGCCAGATTGAATTGTTTTATTATAGTGACAACCGAAAAAGCAAGCTTCACCATCTACGAGGAATCGAGAATCAAATTGTACATAATGCTTCAATCACAGAATATTCATTCTTACCGATAGATTCGTCTGCATGCAGATGGGAAACACTCCACCTGCTGTCAGTATAATTGGCTGTTGAAGATTATGCAGAAAGTAGACCAATGTGGACTTGTATTGGCGACTGGCTGCCGTCCAATTCGATTGAAACAAACTATCGGAGAGGTCCTGGCAATCATCGATGATCATGTTGCAAAGGTAGCAAACAGGAAATGTTTCCAGCAATACACAGACCATGAAGCACACGGTGCCGAGGCCCGTCCAGAAGGTTGTAAAAAACATGACGTTGATCATGGACAGACCCAGAACTATGCCAATCAGGAGGAACTGCACGAAGATGGTGCCCGAGTAGATGGGCCGCAAAGCATTGAAATAGCTAAGGTGCCATATGGCAAATAGAATCACATAGATCAAATTTTATACTGATGAGCAAACTACTCACTCCAAAATCAAGCAGTGGTCCTGGATGCATTTCCTCAGATCATCATGGTGTTCCTCCTCAGTTTTAGTGGGATCCGTGCGCAGTTTAGTCAGTCGGTCCCTGAGCAGAAGGATGTGACAGCGAGCCATCAGCATGTGGGTCAGAGCAGAGACATCCGTACACTGATCCATGGTGACACAGGAACCCATCAGCAACATCTCGCAAACGCTGGATAAAAAAAAGTTCCGCTCCGCATCCAACCCCGGGAGGTACATCAACCAGGCGTGCCTGCCCATCAGAACATATCCTGTCCAATTAACGACAACAAATCCTGAGTAAGCAATCTGAAAGAGAACGTAACACATGTTGCCCTGGGCCACGCAGCGGTGCACACTGGAGCGTTCCTCAGCGCTGGTGCAGCGCAGATCCAGGTGGTCCAGCACCTGTCTGGCTGCCAGAAATCCCTTGTATCCCCAAATGATGAAGAGGGACTTCAGAACACATCCGTACATATTCACCGTGATCTCGAGGGAGCTAAGAAACTCTCCCGCCGTGAAGCTATTGAACATCTGAATATACGATATCAACATCGAGATGGGTAGGAGAAAGATTAGCAGCAAATTCAGGAAAATTCCCCACATAATATAGGGAACTCTCCATTGGGCATCGTCGGGCGCTGTCCAGCCGAACAGTTTTTGAGATCGATCCAAGTAGATAAAGGCATCGCTGGACCGAGTCTTCTCAGTCAATGGCAGGACTTTGATGCGCAGAAAAAACTTGCTCAACATCTTGTCTTTAGTCGTTATTGACTGTATCGCAGGTGAAGGAGCAAATGTCTTTTATAGTTTGCCGTTTGGGGTTTGTTGTGGGTTTCGCAGATGACTTTGCCGTTTTTTTCCTAGTTCAAAAAGTCTCTTAACAAAAACTTTGAAAAGTTGCACTATAATTGGTTGAATTATTAAATTCGGGAATGAAAGTGCTGTTAAAATGGGAATGTTGCAACTCATGTTCAAACCAGCAGCGTTAACGAGCGGCGGCACAGTTAACAGCGCAGCTTAACAGACGGTAACAGACGGCGATCGCTGTAAAGTGCGTACATTTTCCGCCGCCCACTAACAGTGGCGCACCCGTCTACAGTGCTGTTAGCGCTCTCTGCTCTGAGAATAAGCTCGTGCGTTGAGCTTTCATTTCTGTGACTCTTTGTTCACACTCTGCAGGATTTTGCATGCAGCTTGGATTAGACTGAGGGTATAATGAGAGAGACATAGCTGTAAAGCTCAAAGCTCATTGTGCAATGAGGCCTGCAATGCCATGCCTGCAAGGCCGTGTAAATAATATTCCAACACACAAAAATATACATTAAGTGTTACCATTTATTATCTTCTACTTGTGATTTGTGATTCTAAATAGTGAACAGTTTCTCTTACTGAAACTTATCTGCCAAATTGAATTGTTTTATTATGGTGACCACAGAAAAAGCCAGCTTTACCATCTACGAAGAATCGACCACTCATCATTATTTGTTGCCGCATTTAGGGAAATTATATAAAATCTTACCGATAGATTCGTCTGCATGCAGATGGGAAACACTCCACCTGCTGTCAGTATAATTGGCTGTTGAAGATTATGCAGAAAGTAGACCAATGTGGACTTGTATTGGCGACTGGCTGCCGTCCAATTCGATTGAAACAAACTATCGGAGAGGTCCTGGCAATCATCGATGATCATGTTGCAAAGGTAGCAAACAGGAAATGTTTCCAGCAATACACAGACCATGAAGCACACGGTGCCGAGGCCCGTCCAGAAGGTTGTAAAAAACATGACGTTGATCATGGACAGACCCAGAACTATGCCAATCAGGAGGAACTGCACGAAGATGGTGCCCGAGTAGATGGGCCGCAAAGCATTGAAATAGCTAAGGTGCCATATGGCAAATAGAATCACATAGATCAAATTTTATACTGATGAGCAAACTACTCACTCCAAAATCAAGCAGTGGTCCTGGATGCATTTCCTCAGATCATCATGGTGTTCCTCCTCAGTTTTAGTGGGATCCGTGCGCAGTTTAGTCAGTCGGTCCCTGAGCAGAAGGATGTGACAGCGAGCCATCAGCATGTGGGTCAGAGCAGAGACATCCGTACACTGATCCATGGTGACACAGGAACCCATCAGCAACATCTCGCAAACGCTGGATAAAAAAAAGT